TGCCCAACCTTCCTTCCGAGGAGTGGTTGGTGGGTTTGAACCGCCAGCCTTCTGGTTAGCAGTCAAGTGCTTTAGCCACTATGCTACCAGAGCTCCTATGACCAAAGTAGGTGAGATGAAGTCTGTCCATCCTCGCTTCCAAGGAGCATTCCAGCAGCACTTCCTCTAGGACAAATCTGTTAGTTCTTTTAACAGTCCACGGTACTTTCAGCATTCTTCACCAGTACCACAACTCAAAAGCATCAACTTTTCTTTGGTCTTCCTTATTCACTGTCCAGCTCTCACATGCATATGAGAAGATTGAAAATATCATGGCTTGTGTCAGCTGCACCTTAGTCCTCAAGGAGACATCATTGCTCCCCAGCACTTGAAAGAGGTCCCTTGCAGCCAACATGCCCAGTGCTATACATCGTCTAATGTCCTGACTGCTGCTTCCATTGGCATTGTTTGTAGAACCAAGCAATGTGAAGTCTTTGACAACTTCAATCTTTTCTCCATTTATTGTGATGCTACTTAGAGGTTCAGATGTGAGGATTTTTGTTTTCTTTATATTGAGATGTAATCCATACTGCAAACTATTCCTCAATCTTCATCAGTAAGTGCCTCAAATCATCCACACTTCAACACTTTGATGACAAAGTTGTGTCATCAGCATATCGCAGGTTGTTAATGATTCTTCCTCAATCATGATGCCACGTTTTTCTTCATATAGTCCAGCTTCTCGGATTATTTGCTCAGCATGTAGATTGAATAAGTGTGGGGAAAGGATACAACCCTGACACACTCCCTTCTTGTTTTTAAACCATGCAGTGTCCCCTTGTTCTTTTGAACAACAGCCTCCTGGTCAATGTATAGGTTCCTCATGAGCACAATCAAGTGTTCTGCAATTCCTATTCTTCTCAATGTCATCCACAATTTGTTATGATCTACACAATGAAATGCCTTTGCACAGTCAATAAAACACAAGTAAACATCTTTCTGATATTCTTTGCTTTGAGCCAAGATCCATTTGACAGCAGCTATGCTATCCCTTGTTCCACATCCTCTTCTGAATACAGCTTGCACCTCTGGAAGTTCTCTGTCAATATAGTGCTGCAACCGTTTTTGAATTATCTTCAGTAAGATTTTACTTGCATGCCATATTAATGATATTATTTGATAATTTCCACATTGTGTGGGATCACCTTTCTTTGGAATGGGTACAAATATGAATCTCTTCCAGTCAGTTGGCCAGGTAGCTATCTTCCAAATCTCTTGACATAACCAAGTGAGTGCCTCCAGTGGGGCATCTGTTTGTTGAAACATCTCAATGGGTATTCTGTCAGTTCTGGAGCCTTGTTCTTCACCAATTCCTTCAGTGCAGCTTTGATGTCTTCCTTCAGTAGCATTGGTTCTTGATCATATGGCACCTCCTGAAATGGATGAAGATCTACCAGTTTCTCTGGTACAGTGACTCTGTCTATTCGTTCCATCTTCTTTTGATGTTTCCTGCATCATTCAATATTTTGCCCATAGAATCTTTCATTATTGCAACTCGAGGCTTAAATTTTTTTCTCAGTTCTTTCAGCTTGAGAGATGTCAAGCATGTTCTTCCCTTTTGGTTTTCTAGCTCCAAGTCTTTGCACATTTCATTATAGCAATTGGCTTTGTCTGCTTGAGCTACTCTTTGAAATCTTCTGTTCAGCTGTTTTATCCTGTTATTTCTTCCATTTGCTTTAGCTACTGTCCACTCAAGGACAAGTTTCAGAGTCTCTTCTGTCATCCATTTTGGTCTTTTCTTCTTTTCTCGTCTTTTTAGTGACTTCTTGCTTTCTTCATGGATGATGTTCTTGATGTCATTTCACAATTCTTCTGGTTTTTGGTCAATGGTGTTCAATGCATCAAATCTATTCTTTAGGTAGTCTCTAAATTCAGGAGGGATATATTCAAGATCATATTTTGGCTCTCATGGACTTGTTTTAACCATCTTTAACTTGAATTTGAACTTGCATATGAGCATTTGATGGTCTGTTCCACAATCAGCTCACAGCCTGGTTTTGGCTGAAAATATTAAGCTTTTCCATCACCTCTTACCACAAATGTAAGATTCCTGTGTATTCCATTTGGCGAAGGCCACGTGTACAGCTGCCGTTTGTATTGTTGTAAAAAGGTGTTTGCAATGAATAAGTTGTTGGTCTTGAAAAATTCTATCATGCAATTTCCAGCATCATTTCTGTCACCAAGGCCAAATTTCCCAACTACAGGTGATTCTTCTTTGTTTCCAAGTTTTGCATTCCAGTCACCAGTGATAATTAACACATTCTGATTGAATGTTTTATCAACAGAAGCTGATAAAATCTTCAATTTGCTCATCTTTGGCTTTGGCAGTAGGTGCATAAATTTGAATAATAGTCATATTAACTGGTCTTCCTTGTAGGCATATGGGTATTATCCTATCACTGACAGCATTGTACTTCAGGACAGATCTTGAAACATCCTTGTGATGATGAACACCATGCCATTTCTCTTCAAATTGTCATTCCCGGCATAGTAGATCATATGGTTGTCTGATTCAAAATGGCCAAAATAAGTCCATTTCAGCTCACTAATGCCTAGAATATCAATCTTTATGTGCTCCATTTCATTTTTGACAACTTCCAGTTTTCCTAGATTCATGCTTCGTACATTCCACGTTCCAATTATTAATGGATGTATGCAGCTGTTTCTCCTCAGTTTTGAGTTGTGTCACATCAGCAAATGGATGTCTCGAAAATTTTACCTTATCCGTATCATTAAGGTTGGTTCTACTCTGCTGATGCAGCTCTCTCCTGGTCTTATTTTGAGAACCTTCTGACTTAAGTGGCTTGTC